CTTGGAGATAAATCAGCTGTACCTAATATAGCAAAAAATGCTTTTACCCTTATTAAGATTGGTTGTATCACAGCTGCCAGGACGATCTTGCGCAATTGGAAATGCCCCAAAACCCCAGATTTGAAAGATTGGATTGATGGGATGATTGAAATTGCATCATATGAGTGCATGTTGGGGAGACTGCAGAGTGAGGGAGAAATGAAAAAAACATGGGATCATTTTTGGCAGCATATAAAAATGGTGTGATTGATGAGCAGGACTCCTTAACAACTGTTACATTTCCATGTGCTTTTGTTTTATTACATTGATGGTGACTAGTGGCTGAATATGCAATTGTTTGGAAAGGTGAATATTGAATACTGTGGTGATGTACGAAGTTTTGACTGTTCAACAATAAAAAAAAAAGTTGAATTATAAAAAAGAATAGAAAACGATTATACATACAATATAGTGCAATCAGTTCGGACATTGCACAGTGATCATTCAGTAAATGCACAGCTAAACAGATGAGTTTTGAATCTGCATTTAAATGGGACTAATGTTTTATTATTACATGCGGGAGACTTTTGGCCTCATTTGCCCCCAGGGAGTCCCCCCCGTGACTGAGAGGGAGGAGTTCTGTTACTAAGCAAAAATGTTCGAAATAATCAGACGAGGGCATATGGATAATGTTTTTCATGAATTGAAGTTTCATTGTGCATTATACAGGCTTGTTAATGTACGGAGCCCCTAAAGGTGAAAGGGGAAAAAATTAGATGGGACGAAATATTAGGCTATATTTCAATCCTTGAGCGTTCTCTCTCAAAACTTTTGAGTTCTCCGCCAGAGAAATTCGCTAGCCCGCGAAATCTTTGTGATTTGACTAATGCGAAAAACAGAAACAGATGAGTTTTGAATCTGCATTTAAATGTGACTAATGTTTTATTATTACATGCGGGAGACTTTTGGCCTCATTTGCCCCCAGGGAGTCCCCCCCGTGACTGAGAGGGAGGAGTTCTGTTACTAAGCAAAAATGTTCGAAATAATCAGACGAGGGCATATGGATAATGTTTTTCATGAATTGAAGTTTCATTGTGCATTATACAGGCTTGTTAATGTACGGAGCCCCTAAAGGTGAAAGGGGAAAAAATTAGATGGGACGAAATATTAGGCTATATTTCAATCCTTGAGCGTTCTCTCTCAAAACTTTTGAGTTCTCCGCCAGAGAAATTCGCTAGCCCGCGAAATCTTTGTGATTTGACTAATGCGAAAAACAGTTGCCTACAAATTTCGCGAAGAGAGAGAGAGAGAGAGAGAGAGAGAGCACAATACATTTGCAAGGGAACGCTAAGTCTTGGGAGAAAATTCCATTTAAATGATTTTGCGTTCCCTGTCCGAGAAATTTTACATTCACTCGCAAAACTTTTGTGCTAAAAAAAATAATTTGAGGAGGGAGGAAAATCAATTTAATACTTTTGCAAGTGAACACAAAGTTTCTCGAGGGAACGCAAAGTTTCGCGGGAGAAAGTTTGACTATATTTCAATGATTTTGCGTTATTGAAATAATTTGAGGAGGCAGAAAAACAATACTTTTGCGAGAGAAAGCAGTTTATCGAGGGGAAGAATATATTTACATGCATTTGCGTTCACTCGCAAAACTTTTGTGATAGAAATAATTTTAGGAAGGAGGAAAAACTGTAATTTGTAGGCTACCAGAAAACACAAAAGTGTTTCGGGGGGACGCAATACAAATAAATTATATATAATTAACCCCCTCCCCATTTTGCCCACTTAATTGAAGAGAGCCCCATGCATGAACTGTGTTCCGATTGACAAGTGTCCATTGCTCCCTATACTCCCTGAGCACGGGAAATCGGCTGAAGTTTACTTCACTTAAGAACACGGATTTGCTCCACACCACTGCCTGCAGCATCTTCACACACAGACGAAACTTAGGCTACTACAGAAGTGTGAAGGGTTATTTAACCGTAATCATAAGATTTGCATAGTAGTCACGTCTCGCGCACTTTAATGCCCTTAAAGTGCCCTTTAATGAACTGGAATCATGGCGGAATATCCTGTGATGTCTAGGCTACTTCGCAGAGCACTTACGGTCGAATGGAACAAACCTCTGAAGCGATAAGAGAAACACACAAACCTTCTCCAGAGTGCTCAGGACCTCAGACTGGACCGAAGGTTTAAGAGACATGTGACAACTAGCCCCGGTCTCCCATACAAATATACATAAATACACAGACAAAAAAACATTTATATAAACTTCAACCAAATGTTTATTTAGATGTTTATTTACCTTGTAGACTTTTATAGAAATATATATATATAATAACAATATATTGCATCAAGATTAACAGAAGCTGACATTTTCAGTGTCATAATTCTCATTAGGGGTGTATATGGTGAACACCCACTGATCTGTGCTGCATTTCCCAAAAGCATCATAAGCCTAAGTAGATCATAGAAACCATAAGCACCAGTGGTTCTACGATCTGCTTCTGCTTTTGGAAAATGCAGCCCTGGTCAATAGGCTACAGAAAACAGACTATGAAAAGTGTGACTGGATGCTACATGTAAATAACTGTATGATGTACAGCATTACTTCCTCAGATATTGATACTGTATGTTGCAAAGCATTATGAATGATGTGATATATTGAATATATTGGAACCATGATATCGGAGCAATGAAAAACCTATAAAGCATATAATCAACGCAGTTTAGGCATTATGCTGGTTTAGTTCCTCAATGGCTTGGTCACAAGAAGTGTAGCTACTGTAGACTTCTGTTGACCTCTCTCTTCCCCTCGCCTCACAACATAAAGGTGCACATAAGAAAACAGATTCAAAAACACATATCTGACACACACACAATCTTTCATACACATACTTCAGCACTGTACATTGCTCATATTATTGCTGCCTTCTTCTGTGCAGAAAATACTGTATTTATTTTCCCCTAATCGCAAGACTTTTATTTTACATAGAACACTAAAACAAGTAAAACCGCAAATCAGTTTTAAGTTATAAGTGCGTTTGTCTCTAGGTATATAATAAAAAATTTTGCATCATATTTGGATAGTTTCATCATCATTAAAGTTTTTCTTTCTCCATATTCTCTCTGTAAACCACAATATCAGTTCCAGTGTCTTCTTTTGTTAAAAAAAAAATCACTTTTTACTCCGAGACTGACTCACAGACAGACTCTAGACTGTTTGCTACCTGTCATGAACATAAGGAGATCCAACTCAAAAAGAATGCGATTACAACTAGATTAGCTGAACCACAAGAGATTCTAATGTATTTTAGATGTGTCGTCTGTAGTTCAGAAACCTTTCTGATAGGTCTGAGGAACATATGGAACATTTTGCCAACCACAAACGATGTTGTTTCCTGTGGAAAGGCTTACAAGCAGACAACTCTGTTCACGCACAGTCTTTCTGGGTGCTTCCAAATAGCATGAGACTAACCAACCTAGCTCCTTGGTTCCCTCAAACTTTACTCAATTTACACAGTTCATTATTCAGTACAGCAATCCTCCAGTTCTCATTGAACATGTTTTACGTTTAGCAGCATTATTACTTTTTTTTTCTTTTTTGCATAATTTTGATATTGTCACAATCAAAACCTTTTTGTCTTCAGCCAACGAAGATGGGCCAGGCATTCTCCTTTCTTAAGCCCACCTGACACCACCATAAGATTAGGTCACCATGCTCGTTGTAATGGTAGGAACAGTGGTGGACCGGTTCGGGGTCTTTTTTTTCTTGTTGCCCCCTTTGCCACTTTCCTTGGAATCTCGTCCGCGGTTCTTGCCATTTTTTTCTCCACGATTTTGTGGATTCTTCTTATTTTCTCCTGAATAAAAGCAAGTTGCAATTAGAAAACCCAAGATGTATTATTGTCTTGTTTTTAAGTAAAAAACAATGTAAATATACTTGAGAGACAAAACCGTATGTATTTTTTCATAAGATTTATATTTCTGACCCCTTTTTCTTTTTTTATTGATTTCGGAATAAACCTCAAAATTTTATTCAATTTATATTTTTTTTTAAAAGAAAAAATGTCAACTTAATTCAAGATATACAATTAAGCTTTAATACATGTAATTTTGTATTTCAAGTTAATTAGAAAAATAAAAAATATCTATATAATAGTAAAGTGTAGCTATTTTTAATGTAAATGTAAAGGATTGATACAAAATATATATATTTCTAAAGCTGTGAACATTTAAACGTATATACAACTCTACAAAAATGTATGCATAAACGTTATGATTATAAATACTGATTAGGTCATGCTGAACTGTAGTATTGTCCTGTAGTAACTGTAGTATTGTCCAGCACTGAAAAACACAGGCTGGTTTGTTTCCCATCAGCCTCACTTGCAGTACTACAAGGGGGAGTCAGGGCCTCCAGACTGACTGATATTTGTTATGAAGTTAGTGTTGTGAGTCTCAGTGTTCCCTGGAAACCAAAGTCAACACTCATTTGGTGCTGGAGAGCATTCACTCTGCACTTGATAACATGAGCCACACACACAGCCGCTCTGTGGCTCCTGGAATTGTCTCTCTGCTCATCTCAAGGCCCTGATATTATACCACAAACTGTTGCATTTGTTTCTACATAAAATGCATAATTAAAAATAGAATGGAAATGACACAAACAAATATTTGTTTAATTAAACCTTTGATTGTTAATAAGAGTTATATAAAAAAGCAGATTCACGTTTACAGATTTTTGACTTGAAATGGCATCATCGTAAACACATAAAAGACCACTTTATTTGGCAAATATTAAAGAAAAGTTTAATGGACTTGAATCTAATAACAAGTAATAATTAGCATTCTAATTACCTGTAAAGCACAAACAGCAGTTCATTCTGCAATATATAAAACCTATATACTGTATGTCAGAGATACAGTATGATGTTGTTTGCAGTTATGCCTGTTACATTATTGAAGCATCAACAACTAAATATTTCCACAATATTACAAGAGAAAGTTTTCTGTTTTACTGTTTTTCCGCTGCAGGAAATCGCAAACACTGTTCAGAATTATTTTTGGGAGTGCTTTTGCTTTTACACAACAGATCAATAAACATTACGTTAATATTATAATGATATGTTTACTCGACACAATATGGCCAAATATTTAGTTAGTTTTGCTCCACTAACAAAAATGGTTTCAAACAAAGCCACAGTATAGCCGCTGCACATTTCAGAGTAACACACAGTAGTGGTGTTTTGTTTATAAATGAGTTACTGTTTTTGAGCAAATTGGTTGAGTGAATAAATCAATGACTCATTTATTAAGACACTTGCTTATTTTGTTCCTAAACAAATCAGCAGCATGTTTTGAACAATTCGATTGGATGAATGATTCAGTGACTAACTCATAAAAGACATTTGATTGTTTTGTACAATAATGAATAAGTATGTTTTGAACAAATCAGCTAAATGAATGATTCAGCGACTCACTCATTGACTAAAGCCACTTATGAAGGGCACTTTGGAGTGAGAACAATCATGGCTGCCATACTGAAAGGTCGTTCCAAACCAAAGTGCTCAAAACTGGCCACTTCAAAGGGCCCTTCGGAATGAAAGACTTTGCTTCCATGATTCTTTGCATAGGTTTAATTGTGTGACGGCGCCTCCTTTACTAGCTTGGCAAAATGACGCAAAGCGCCTTCCAAGCAAGAGAGGGGATTTCGAAGGGATTAGTGAATAAGGAACTGGGATGAGCTCTTCAGAATGGAACGCAGCGAGTCACTTGTTTTGTTCCTGAATGAATCGGTGTGTTTTGAACAAATCATTTGAATGAATGATTCACTGACTCACTCATCACTCATAAAATAACTTGCTGTTAATGTCCCAGATTCATCCAGTCAGATTAGAGGACCAGAGATAAATGTTGTATGTATTGTATAAAAGCATAATATCATAGTCTTATCAGTGAGAAGATTTCCACAAATCAAACAAAAGAAGTCTAACTCAATTCAATTGTTTAGTATTCATTGCTTTGAGAACAGCAATCCTGTTCATGTGAAGAATTCAGAGGCCTTAAGTTTACAAAATGCCTCTCGAGTGTCAGTTAATCACGATTTTAAAACCGAGGTGAAATGAAAAAACATGGAAGGAAATGGAGTCTTAAACTTTGGATCCACATGGAAGAGACTTGTTAGCTTTGATAAATTGGTAAGAGCGCTTGGGGAGGATCCATTCATTAATGACAGCAATAATTACAGCGCTGCTCAATCCAACCTAAACACCATCGCCTGACAAAGGCAATCACGCGTTTAGTGTATTCAGGTTTCGTGCAAAGACATTTATTAAGCTACAGGAAAGAGAAAAGAAAGGGGGGGGGAGAGCTTGGCAAAATCAACACAAAGCGTGAGATCTGCAGACCAGTAAATCACAGCTGTTATACAAGCACTGCCCCCTGTGATTTTTACAGCAGCCCTGTCAGCCAACTCCTGCAGATGTATTCAGAGCCTTGCTAATTTTGCACGAGCTACACATTTACGCACTGAGAAAAAAGGAGGGCAATCGGGTCATGCAACCCATAACATATTAGTTGTTTTTTTTTTACACCTGAGTCGCATTACTTCTTTTTGCCCTGAGAAGTGAGAACTGCTTTGCTTTTCGGGCAAAAAACATGCTTTGACTCCAGCCGGCACATAACTGATCCTATCTTAACATGGTTAGGGAAAGCATGATGTTATGAGAGTGAACTACAAACAAATTACTTTACATGTGTCCAGGCCTATTAGTTCACCATAGCTCTCTCTATCTCTCTCTCTTCGAAAGCTTTGCCGACAAGTGGACCCTCTAAGTTTAGAAATTTGGCAGGCGTCACAGCACTTTTATGGGGCAGTTTATAATATTTCACTGTTAATTACTCTTATGGACCCCGGGTGGAAATTCTTTCCACAAATACGGACGTCATGCAGAGTAAATTTGCCTCTCATTTCTCAAATGGCGTTGTCACACCTAGTCCAGCAAAGCATGGAGCTTAATTCTCCCGACAGAAGGACAGTGAGCACTTGATCTTGTGAGGCTGTTCACACAGAATAATATGTAATTTCCAGGAAAGCACTGTTTCTCAACAGTGTGAAGACAACTAAGAGCTCTAGAAGTTATAATCAGGTGTTTACAGTATTTTAAGAAACACTCAAAGTGTGATATTATGATTAGCTTACGATTAACTCATGAGTCATGTAGTTTCATAAACTGACATAAATTGCTTGAATACTGTATATACTGTATATTGGAAAACATAAAAGAGAAAATACAAAAATAGACTATGAGTGAAAGCCATCACAATTACACAAAAACGTTTTATTAGCCTGGATTGATTTCTGAATTGGCAATGACATTGCAAGGTCTGCTGTAAGCTATTCAGTTGTAAATTTCATGAAACATTAATGAAAATAATCAGATCAAACTAGCTATTTTTATTTTTGAAATGTCCTTCCTTAGTTCTCAAATCTTGTTCACCAGCAGACATCAAAACTATCAAGTTGACAACGAACACAAGATCCAGTGAAGTTTGAGGTTTGCTGCAATTTCTTCTTTTCCACTCACTGCACTACACTTGTGTAAAAAAATAAAATTATAAAAATAAATAAACAGACATTCTTGTATGCATGCAAATTATAATGACTATGTGTATCATACTTTTATGTGCTTTTTAAGATTAACGGTTTACGATCATCTTTTCATCCTTGTTTTCATGGATAAAAATGTCATTCAGGTTTAGAGCAGCACAAAGTTTTTAATGGCTCTTTTAATGGCAACAAAGTATACTGAAAATAATGCTAAAAGAATTAATTCAGCTTAACTTGAATAATGAAAAGTTACTTAAACTATTGATTATATTATAATGAATAGTATTATCAATAGACAATAAAAAATATAATACTGAAACAAAACGCAAAAAGAAAAAAAATTGATTTTATGTTTTGAAAGTATGCTCACGAAGGCTAAATTTATTTGATTTATTTGAAATATTATTACAATTTAAAATAACTGTTTGCTATTTTATCTTAAACTGTAATTTATTACTGCTATGGGAAAGCTGAAAGCGGTTGTGCTACTTAATTCATTTATTTATTTGGAAACCCTGACATTTTTTCATCATTGATGAATAGAAAGCTCAAAAGAACAGCATTTATTTTAAATAGATTTTTTTTAGAATAATGTAAAAGTCTTTACTGTCACTTGTTATTTTGATGCATCCTTGCTGAGTAAAAGTAACATTTCTTTTAAAAGAAAAAAAATAGAACTGACCCAAAACTTTTGAACGGTGATGTAACCACTGAATTAACCAATGAGCTAAAAATTCTTGTTTGGGCCATTAAAAGCCTTTTTGTTAATGCAATCTCCTATATTTTAGGCTGAAATCTACACAAGCCATCCAGAAGAGTATAACGGTAGAGAGAAACAACATATTCAGACATTTACAAACAGTTTACAGTCAACAGGTCCACTACAGGTCCACCAACGTTATTTTCCTGCTCGAGAGCCAGAGCAGCATATTAACCTCAATTTCCAGTAAGTTAAAGCAACAAACAAAATGCCGCCCTCAGATCCGCAGCCAGCAACGAAAAGATTACAAACCAGCTGGGCTTCTGTTTATTTACTGGGAACACTCAAGGATTTATTTGCACCGTATTATGTCAAAAACCATGAATAAACTAAATCAAATTAGTTCCAGGAGATTGTTTACATGTTTTTCCGAGTGGCCAAAAAAAGATAAATGATCAATGAAGCAACAAATCTGTAATTTGCAAAAACGCATATTGAAGTTGGATAACAGATTTCACGCATTCCTTTCCGCACAAGTATTTCCTATCCATCCACATTCCAATATTTTGTGTTTTTATTCTTTCTGTGATTTACCTTTGCAAGGGATCTTTTTCTGCACGGTACATCTTTGGGTCTGTGTCTCTGGGACGCAGCCCGAGGGCGGAGCAGCCCCTGTGAAAGTGCCAGGACTTGGAAGTTGTAAGGGCTCCCTGGTACGGGTCTGGTTACCCTTTTTAAAGCCACATGTTTTGTTCTTCTTCATGCAAGGGCCCCATGGACTCCACTCACTTAGGTCACATTGGACTGCAACAAAGAAACACAGACAAAGAAAAAAAAACAGAATAACCAATTTTTTACATGATTCAGGGGACCTGTTACCACAGCTTAAATAAATGCATGGTTGCAAGTTAAACATTCTAATTCAATCATTTAATTAAACCTTTTAACCTTTGATTATTTTGTTGAGTTCAGTTGACATAATAATGTTGATCATTATGGTACCTTAATATTGTGTGTAATTTAAACTCAAATTTCTGTGTTAATTGAATTTCTTTAAAAATAAAGTTGTAATAACTCAATAAAATTGTCTTGTTAACTTTGGAAACTGGGCAGTGGAATTCTAGTTCTCAGCATGGTTTGCATAGAACTGTATAAGGATATTAAATGTTGAAATTAAGTTATTTTATGTGTTTTTTAGTGAAGGGAAATACCTGTTAGTGTGTAATGCTGCTATGTTTGACATTTTAAAGAGTTTTTGTTATGTTGAAGTTTTTGTGGTTACCACTGTGCTGAAGAGTAGACCACATGAAGGTAAACAGTACATTGGCTCTATTAGCAATGACTGCACTAATGCCAGCAACAAAGAACATCTTATTTGCTCATTAAATATACATTCTAAGTTGCATTTAGCGTGTGCTATGATATATGTGGATTTTAATTGAAAGAAGATAATATAAATTGGTTCCAGGCCCACAAATCCATTAGTTGGAGCAACTTATATTTTTTGAACTTAAAAATATGTGTTTATGTTACAAATTATTAAGCTCTTCTAACCCAATATAGTTTGTTGGTTTAACATAATTTCATTAGAAGTTGTCATAACTCAAGAAAATTTATGAAAACTGAAAACGTTAACACATTATTTTTTTAGAGTGTAGAATGAATGACGGGGGTCTGAGAAATAAGTTACTCCAATCAAAAGTTGAAGAAACTGCATTAGAAAACCCCAAAGAATTCACAGCGGAGATTCAGACTTATAAAATCCAGCATCACTCACATTTTCCAATTGCATTTTGCTAAAACGCAGAGCATGTGTTATGATTGTATGAGGTAGGCTCCCTTTTTATTCATTTTAGGTAATGACAAGCTGTCAGGCTGTAGACTTTCAATTGCACGGAGCGGTTTCAAGTTTTTTCTAAGTATCCAATTTTTTCTGTCTAATGTGTTTAGGGGCAGGAAGGTCAAAGGGAACTCATCTCAGCCAAAAACAATCACAGACTGAAAAATGCACATAACAAAGTGGTGGACTGACCCGTTGACGCAGGTGAGGTATCATAAACTTTGGGAAAATGTCACACTGGAAGTCGAGGCTCTCCATTTAAAGACCAAACAGCCTGGAGGAGCCAGCACCACCATTGAGAGTAATGCTATTAGTGCTGTGTTTGCTTGCTTCTGACAGAAATATTTTCAAAAGAAATAAAAAAAAAAAAAAACTTCCAACAGGCCTTGTGCCAACGTTCCTCTCAACAGCGATTGAGAAACCACAGAAAAAAGGAAAACAAAATTTGAAGAAATAGAAAATGGTTATCCGAGAACTTCCCAGTTTTATAATTTCATCAGCATAACTGAGTCGCAACAACCATATCCATATACAGTACATAGTCATTCTATGACAGAAGTATCATGTGCCCACAACATCTGATGACATGCACTAAACCAAAAACCTTATATACTGGATATATACAATATAAAACCAGATTAGATTCCGATTTTTAAATATTACTGTTATAAAACATGATATTATTGTGTGAGGATGGTGCATTTTAATAAAATAAACCTTTATATAATAAATATTTATTAAAAACTGCAATAACTACAAAAATGTTGTCTTTGTGTCAAATTTAGTCATTGTGTCATTTTAAAGTACAAAAATGTAGAAGTGACATTATTTGGCTTTCAGTTTAAAAAATGGTAAAGTTCTATTTTTATTTAACATTCACAATTTGTTTTTCATGTTTAACCAATTTTTGTCAAACATAACAAAGCATAACATTCCCATAATTAAGCATGAGGCAGAAAATTGCTGTTCAGTTTTGCTGGTAAAATGTATAAAGGGGTGGTTGACTGTTTTTTTTCTAGGCTTGATTGTGTTTATGGGGTGCAGTCTAACATGTGTTAATGCTTCGTTTAAAATTTAAAAAAAAACATTATTTTTCACATATTTTACCTTTATTCTACACCGCTCTGTCCCTTCTCCCATAAACGCGCTGATCATTTCCTGCTTTTATGAAGCCCCTCCCTCAAAAATACGTGATGGGCTCAGATTGGTTAGCTAGTACAGTGTGTTGTGATTGGCTAAACCGCCTCTAGTGCGCATATAAACGTCCCGCTCCTCAGCTCAGCAGCATGAGCGCCAGTTGTATTGTAAACAATGGCATCGTCAATATTGCTTATCAGTTTGAGCCCGATTGAGACGCAGAGGATATTAGTGAAGAGGATCACGCAGAACCTGTGCAAGCACGGCTCTTAATGGTATGTTTTTTGATTGTTGTTGTCTCATACTTTTAGATATGCTGTTATTTGTAAATGCTACTGCTTCTGTTAGCTTTTAATATACGGTTTTATCCTGATTAAAGCTTTAATACAGTACGCAACCACACGCGCGTCCATGTATAACGCTTCTCATATGTGAAAATAAGTGTATAAATGGAACAGTTCATTGTTGGATGATCTTAGTGTGTGTGTGTGTGTGTGTGTGTGTGTGTGTGTGAGAGAGAGAGTGAGAGAGAGAGAGAGAGATGCAGCAGAGCAGAGCGTGTGCAGAGCAGGGGACGAGAGGAACAGGATTAAGAACCGCTGCTTAAGAACATTGATTTTGAATCTTGTGAATCCATTAGAATCGTTAGACGACAGAATCGCGATTCATATATGAATATATTTTTACGTGCACCCCTAGTTATCTCTTCATCTTCTCTAAAGCAGCACAGCATGGCCTCGCCCCCTTTGTTGCATGTTCCCGGGGGCGGGGTTTTTCTGGATTTGTGATGTCACAAACCCGGGAAGTAACTCGTTGTAGTCCCTACGAGCCGTTTTTGTAGGCATTAAACTGCCAGAAATTTAAAAGACGATATCTCAGTTTGCATTGAACTTTCAGCGCCGCAACTTTGCAGATATTGTGCTCAAACAGCAACATTACACACTAACTAACGTTAAAAAAAGGGAAATCGCAATCAACCACCCCTTTAAAATCTAACATGAATTTACGTTACAAATCGGTTTTCTAAAATGGCACCTAGGCATTAATTTTTCCTATGACTGAAAAAGACACATAAGCAATATATACTAGAAAATGCTGTTGTACAACATATTAGAACTGAAACAACACAAGTTTCACAATTTGAGTTGAATTACTGAAATAAATGAACTTTTCCACGACATTCTGATTTATTGAGATGCACCTGTAAGTTCTCTGTCAATGAAAGCAAAAGGTTGTAAACCCCTGGCGTGTGCAGTTCACTCACCTACACACTCCATGGTGCCGTTGACGGTGAATCCTTCAGGACAGTTGGAGAAACACCGCCCTCTGTGTGAATACAGGCCCTCCTTACATTTTGTGCAAAAGTTTCGGCTAAAACAAGCCTCACAGTTTTCTATTTTACATTCTGTAATAAAGAAAGACAATAACAGTTACATATTGATTATATCAACACAATCTTTTAATAATTCTGCTTATTTTGACGTTGAACAAGTGGACCACCATCTGGTGACTTATTGTTGAGGCTCTTACAGTTTCTTACCCAAAAAGTAGTCAGTTCAAGAATGTCAGGACTCTCATATGGCTTCCTCACACCTCTGTCTCATTACAAGCCTGCCGTCTTTGATCAAACATACAAACTGCCTTAAATTAGGGGCAATTGTGGATTTTGGCAGAATAAAAGCCAGACACCTACCAAATGAAACAGAATTCACTTCCCAACCCATAACCCCTTCTCAATTTTCATCATTATCTCATTCTGATAAACAGGGGATCTAGTTCCTAAATATCCATCTTAGGCTTTTACTTTGGTGCTGTAAAACATGAAAGGATTTACAGTGAGATCCAAAAGTCTAAAACCTGATTATCATGTCATCCAGAATGATTTGAGATGATTCAAAGTACTTCAGTTGAAGCATGAGTAAATGTTCCTCTTTTTAAGTCATATGTTTTAACATTTTTAAGATACTAAAACTGATTATTTCCCGTTTTCATATCGGATTTGAAATCCCTTTTTTCCCTCACAGTCTTCTGGCTGACATAGACTGAACGTTAAATCAAGAAAGACTGTAAAATAATTTTGCGAAACAGATTTAAATGCTAAATTACCATGATATATGTGAAAATGTGCAAAAATAAGGTTCTTAAATTTCTGTTCAAATACCTGGGACATTCTGAGAGCAGCAGCACACAGATATCACGGATATCGCTAATCCCGGCCAAAAGCAGAAGAGGGCCTAACAACATACTTGATCTGTGTTTTTTGTTATAACCTCTGCTCTCAATTACTACTTTAAATGCCTGACAACTAAATTAGTAATGTTTGGAGCAAATTCTTTTGCACTCAAGCATTTACAAATGTAACCTTAATGCAAGACAAATGTTGTTAACAAGACATCATGGGGATCTGGAAACAAATCAAATGCATTCAGCTAATTGAATAATTGCAACGGGGCAGCCACTCTGAGGCCTGAAATGAAGGAGGGGTTCGCATGCACAGCCGTTTTTCAAAACACGACAAAAACACTCAAAATGACAAAGAAACGAACACGTCAGAGGGAAATGTTGACAATAAGAGGTCTGTGATGTTCGGAGCGATTTGGAGTCAACACCTGTGGATACGACGTATTTTGGTCTCAATGTGTGGGTCATAAAAATACTTAAACTAACAAGCGGACAGCTGCATGTGGTATTTCAAAGCAAGTGTAAAGTATACAGTCAAGAAATGATGAATTAAAGGCTCCAGAGGGTTGTGAAATAATTTCTCACTTCCCTTGATGCTAAACATTTAAATTTAAGGTTATCTAGAATGAAAGTTTAAATCAGAACCATCTGAGAGGTATTAGGCAGAATGATGCAAGAGTGTATCTTGGTAACAAAAGTATTTTCTTCCTATAACAAAATATAATGACTCCAAGCTGTGATTCCCACTAATTGGCTTTCAAAACATGCTTGAAAAGGGAGCAGGTCGTTCAATTTACAACTGGAAAAGCTTTGGTAGGTTGAAGTTAGAAAAGGCTCAAATAAAGCTATAATTTCCTCCCACAACAGGAGTAAAGAGGTACCACCAATCAATTTACGAGAGGTATTTCCTTGTTTATCCACAGTTATCCACTGCTTTACCTTTATCACAGTAAAAATGCTCACGCACATGATGGGAAAAGGCCGCCGAGTCTCTGGCTGAAACCTAGAGATCGCACTATTAAAACAAAGAGGATGATTAAAGGTAAATCCTCATTATGCTTTTTTGCATAGGGTGTGCGCAGAAAGACTGAAAAATGTGACCCTGGACCACAAAACCAGTCTTAAGTCGCTGGGGTATATTTGTAGCAATAGCCAAAAATACATTGTATGGGTCAAAATTATAGATTTTTCTTTTATGCCAAAAATCATTGGGATATTAAGTAAAGATCATGTTCCGTGAAGATATTTTGTACATTTCCTACTGTAAATATATTAAAACTTAATTTTTGATTAGTAATATACATTGCTTAGAACTTCATTTGGACAACTTTAAAGGCGATTTTCTCAATATTTAGATTTTTTTGCACCCTCATATTCCAGATTTTCAAATAGTTGTATCTTGGCCAAATATTGTCCTATCCTAACAAACCATACATCAATGGAAAGCTTATTTATTCAACTTTATTTTATTTATTTCGAAAAATGTACCCTTATGACTGGTTTTGTGGTCCAGGGTCACAAATATGACCAGAGTTGAACTACCATGAACTCTGCATTTGCAGCCTACAATAATAACACAGACTTCCTAGAAGAAACAGACAAACAGCCACGTATTACCAATGTTTTGCTTTGCATTACATCCCCCCACCCTGTTTTTCACCCACAGAGTAAGAGAAAACAGATCACTGGCTCAGCATTTGGCATCCACGAGTCAGATGCGCTAGTTTAATGTCATTGGTGGTTACAGTATTAAAGAATGTTGTGAATAATGTGATTGTTTCATAATTACATCATTTGTGCCATCTTTACAATGACATTAAACACTGTATAACTGATGTTAAAGCCTTGTAAACGCACTAAGGAAGGTAATTTTATGACGCTGTGCTGTTCAGACAATTCATCTCATCAATTAATTCAGAAAGGGAGCAGGGTAAGATGTGTCAGTGGGCAAGCTGTGTCATTTCCTGTTAATATAAGAAACTGCACATTTTTGTCATGTGATAATATACAGCTATTGTTTTTTTATGCAAATACATCTAAATAATATATAGATATATAAAACATTTATATTGTAAAATATTGCAATTTAAAACTGTTCTATTTTTATATATAATGTAAAATATATTAATATGTAATTTATCGTCAGCCTTCACTGTCACATGATCCTTCAGAAATCATTTTAATGTGCTGATTGGCACAGCTTACCGCTGATTGGCACAGCTTACCTCATTATCTCCTACTTAATTACAGTTTTGAAACTATGAAAATATACCAGTAGAGCAAAGACTCACGTGTGCATTTGTTCATATCACGATTTCGAATGCCGTAATATCCAACAGGACAGGCAGCGAGGCAAATGCCTATCTGACGGATGTCATTCCGCTCCAGTAGGATGAAGAGCCGGGGTCGACATTTAAGACAGCCGTTATACTCTGAGCAGTGTTCACAGCCAGTCGAGCACGATGGTGGTACTTCAGTGCTTACTGATGGAAGAAATAAAGAGAAAAGGAGTGAGCGTGATACTGGATGTGTTTCCTTAACTTAAATATCATTGAGTACATTAATGATATCTGCATTGTTCTGTTCTGTTAACCCTAGGGGGGTTATTATTGTTGCTCTCCCTGCTCATTCATGACAGGCTGCATGGATGGGCAGGGAGGTTTTTTGCCCAGAACAGAACCATACCGCCAAACCAAACTTTATGCTAAGTATCTATCATTCTGACGATAGTGGTCCTGACAGAAGTGTACTTAAGTACAATACTCAAGTAAATGTACTTAGTTACTGTCTGCCTCTGCTTACAGTTTAGAAGACCCTTTGCAATCCCAAGTGCTTACAATGACTAGTTAAGTAAACTAGTTATGTGCTTTCCACAGGAGTAGACAGTGTGATTACAATGTCACTTTCCAGCAACTGCTACCTGGATTTGACCTAGCCTTTGAATAAACAACCAAGATGAGTTTACCATGACCCCTAAATATCAAAAGAAATAAACTCATTAAATCATATAGAGACAGGACAGGACAGGACAGGACACGACACGACAGGACAGGACAGGACAGGACACTAATGCTAGTTAAACTACGGACCAGCACCAAAAACACAACATGTGACAACATAGTAGTTATTTTTGGAGAGAGCACTGTGTGAATAGGCGATTCAATTTGCGACATCGCACACAGATCTCTGATGGGTCAACTAGGCAGAAAGAGGCCTGAAACATCAGTGTGTACTTGTTCTGTCCAGGTGTCCCAAAATGCTGACACATGACGAAATAAAATCAGTTACAGATATCTAAGAAAGCTCACTCATCCCTTGTGATTTCTATGCCTTGCTTGTAACATCCAAAAATTTCTGCATTCGAGGCCAAGAAGAAATAAACGATTATTCCGAAAGCATGTCAGAGTGCACATCTTGTTCCTGGTAGGCTGACTGGAGTCAAAACTGCAGTCATCTGCTTTAATTTACAGGTCTATCTGTGTAGCATTAGCTCTAAATATACACTCTCACAGGGCAATCAATCTCTATGCTGAAAAGTGTTAAAACGACCGTCCCGCTGTAAATAAGCTGCAAGTACAGTAAGTGATGCAACCTAATGGATAAATGCAACCCTTAAGTTAACATATTTTTACTGTAAAACATGACACCTATTAGATCACATAATCTCATCCATCAAGCAAAATAACTGAAAAAAACAGCTTTTAACCACTAATATCAATATTATTTTACCGTTAATATTCAGTAGCAAGGACTCCTTGGTGGGTTCAGCTAAAAAAGAACAACCAATCTACCAAAAAAATCCATAAAAGGATCATTAAAAAAAAAAAAAATTTCAGGCACTGGGGTGTCCTTTATCGATCACTACACAGCTCCAACGCTGGAATAAATGAAACGGTCTCTCAGCAGGAACAACAAATATGAAACCAGAATTATTAATGATGAACGTGAATGATTGTTTTGCACTCCAGGAAGGTTGGCTAGGTTGCACAGTATGCGCTACTCACAAACCTTGCACACATGCTAAAAAAGATAGCATCAGTTGCCACTGCACTTCTAGACAGTGATATATCATTATGACCAGAATGTCCCCTTTGGATTTTCCTTTTCAAGGGAAAGATGACAGAATGTACAAGTAATAAATAAGGCCTTTTTATGACCAAAATCAGAGTGAGATCATCATACAATCTAAAATACCCTCCAAACACCTCATTAGTCTAAAGGTAATTTATTAGCAGAGAATCGAAATTTTTCCTGAAATGAAAAAGTAGGCAATGTAGTCACAGCATCATTAAACAAGCATTTTTAGACATAATGGACCAATCCATGTGATTTGACATCTGACTCTGCATAGTTTTGCAAACTTCTGCCTGCATTCTTAGCTCTAATAACTAGTTGAATTTAACAGTACAGTCCACGAAGAAACATTTTCCATGCTTTTTTGTTGCCTCTCAGATGACTGTAGCCAATTAAAGTCTAAAGATATTGCATTTATTGCTTTATTTTACTTTTTACATTAGCGTGTTCATTGTTTATGCATTTACATCATGTTAATCTCTGGTTTGTATTTCAAAACAAACACAACTCCAGACACAGTGACATTGTCATCTTTTTTTCAGAATCTGGGCTAGAAAGAGTACTTCATTTGAACAATTTAAAATTGGTCTTAAAACATATCGAACCGTAAGAATTTGTAAGAAAGCAATGGAATAAAAAACAAAATTCTAAATATCACATATATTGCATCAGACTTGTTTCCAGAGAATTTTGATATCTTGAATTTAATTTATTTAATTTTCTTATCCTACTGGCAAATACATTTTGTCTTGTTTAAAACTGCCTAGCAAAATTTAGAGAGGTTTATGCTTAAAGCAAAAAAATACAATTTGCTAATGGGGTAAGAGAAATAAACTTAAATCAAGATGGATTCCCTGCAAACAAGTCTTATATCTTACACAATTTTAAAAGTAAATGTATCTTGTTTAAAATGGGGCAAAAAAAAAAAAAATTTTGCAATGTACATGAGTAGGCAGAATAGCTGGATCCCATTTTTGATGTGTCAGGACTCGGAGCCATGCCATAAAATGAATGTACAGAGCAATAGCATAATTTAAAATAGTTTATTACGAACAAAAATAAACACTTATACAAAATAATTGCTGGTATGGTTTGGATATTTTAGAGTGAGGGGGAGGGAAGCAGCATGACTGCTGATAAGTCACTTGTATAAAAACAGCTTTCAGATGTGTTTGCTTTCATTTTGTTGATAAAACTGCTAGAAAACTCTGCTATCAAGAAGCACTGCTCAGATCAGCTTACAGCTTAACAGATTGTGAAGCATCAGCAGATTTATTTCACCAAGTAACTCACTGTTTATTTCTCCTCAAGATAGCTTTTCATTCTCACTGGCGTTGTGTTTTGATTTGCACTTCAGGCTTCCTCGTGCTACTTGATTTCTAACTTTAGCTACCCGCTATTACTCTCAGAACACAATATGTGTTCGTTTTGTTGCTTATAGTTTCTGGCAAGTGTATAAATGTAAAAAACACTGTTGTCTCTTAATAGCTAAGTTAAACAACAGCAGCCTAACCAGTAGCAAAATGCAATGCAGATTCGTAGACTATACAGCCACTGTGAATGTCACTGCATTACCTACAACATCCTCTAGAGGAGGCTGTACTCTCCTCAACACTGCCAGCAGTGGTCAATATACAATTTCCACTGAATAATCGCAACCCTTAATATCAAAAAAGTCAGATTAGGATAAAAAATATATATATATATATTTATTTGATTGTCAGGTTGACTTTTTAAAATTACACAGAATGCATTATTGAGTATTTGATAACAGCACACAAAAAATAAGACTTTCCAATAACCATAATTGTGTTCTTTAAAATATGAAATACTAAACCTACATCAGCGCTCTTGCTCTAAGGTGTGCACATATATAATAATTTATGCAATATTTCAGAGTGAGTTCTGCTGCAGTTTGGAGGTTGATTTCCCACCATTATTCCAAAGCCTCAAAGTATTTACTTATAGAATATTATATATATATATAAATTAAACTAAAAATAAGACTTTCAATAAAAATAAATGTGTTCTTTAAAGTATGAAACACTAATTCTACATAAGTGCTCTCTCACACATAAGAGAACGTATGTAATATTTCAGAGTGAGTTCTGCTGCACTGTGTGGGTTTTAAAACTAACTTTTCCATAAAAGAAGAAAAAAATATTTTTAAAAAGTCATAAAAAGGTAAGAGCTGCTTTGAAGCCAGACAAATTACAAAAATAAAGTGTGTTAGGCATTATACTTAGGTATTCAGGCAAAAAAAACTGTAATGGGTGAAATTTGGCCATGCTTAGGAACATGATATGCTCATTTAAAATGTACGCTTAAAACGCAAAGTTGCTATTAAAAGCAACAGAACAGGTTCCCCACAAAACTGGCTGAAAAAAAACAAAAGCATTCCAAGGAACTCAGAAATGCTCTAATGAGCCACAAATAATAGGAACCGACAGAAATAAATTGTGAAATGTTGCACTGTCTCAAGGGACAGTGAGCTACTTAATGATGTGATATTAAGAAAGAAACAGAAAGAGACATCAACACTCACTTCGTCTCTGTCTTCTTGCTTTGGAGGCCTTGAGGTTATCACCGTGACCCATGGAGCCGAGGAAGACAACTGCCAGCGCCACCAGTCCCAAATGCATAGTCCCTGCCCCCCAGTCAAACTGGGTCCCGTCTGCAGGCAGACAGATCACAGCTGAGGGGGCCCCTTTCGCGCTGTGGCAGGTGGAACGAAGTCGACTACAGCCGGTGGCGGCGCCCTTGGCTGGAGGCCTCTGCCGCTGCAAGTCCAAACATGTTTGGAGAACAAACCATAGCACTCAAGACGATGAAGATGAGAATGATGAAGTTTTGGGTGCAGAGAACCGGGCGAGATGAGAGATGAGATCTTGTAGACAACACGACCTGCCCTTCAACCCATGAAGCCGGGGGGGCAAAACCGAGAGGAGAGAGAAGCTCGTGGCGGTCGCAGCCAGGAGATCCTAACGTGAGTGAGCAACCCAGCCCAGGAGCATGTGTCTTATTAGGGATGCTGGGAGGAGGAGGGGGAGTGCCGAAAAAAAAGAAGAGATGGAGAGAGGTTCTGGACTCCTACACGTGACAACGCATCCGTCAGTGCCAAGATCTGCTGCAGAGAGAGTTGGATGTGGAGAGGAGTGGAGTGGGTGAATGGGGGGAGTAAAGCACAATGAGACATGTATATAAAACAGTACTTTAAGTCAGCATGTCAAAAGAAAGTCCAAATATCTTGCCCAGGGGAAGAGATGCAAGTTTTTTAATTTTGTGCTTTCAAAAGTGAATACTTTAAAAACAACTTGTACATTTTCTGTAAACTGTCGTAAAATACTTTTTGGAATCAAGGAAAAGGCGATGGAAAGAAAATAGCCTTACGCAGTGCTTACATAACTGCACTCTTTCATCCCTATCACTGCTCTTTCTCAATGAAGTTCAGCATTTCTGCACTTTATATTTGTTCAATTAATTCATGGAAGTCTGGTTTGGAACTATAAATGCGGATACAATATTTTGAGTAACATAACCCGAAACTGGTATTTTGTCCATTTAAACCACACATTCCTGCCATGCTTATTTTTTCCTTGGCCAGATAGATTCATGAGCCGGGAAAGCAAACTATATGTTTCATTTTAAATGTAATTTCCCATTAAGACTGACAAGAGCTGAAGTGTTCGGCCGCTAAAGCTAAAGTTGATTCGACCAAAAAGAGGGCACCATATTACAAATACCACAATAACCTTCGGTCGATGCACATCCAAAAGTAAGGAATGGAGGGGGAAAAAATATATTTACCCCATCTGTCAGAAAACAATAGGCTGAAAAATGTCTTTCAAGCAGTGAAAGCGATCACATTTACGCCTCTCACTATGACAGATAGATATGTTTATAAAATGATTCTTAATCACATTCCAGCAGAAATGGATGAGCGTTCTGGATTTACGCAAGAGAGACCTCATGCCTAGAAGTATCAGGAAAGCAGGGCCATATTTGGCCACAGGTCCTCTGGATCTTGTATCATGTTATTTGTTAATTCTTAGCATACCAAAAAGTGCTTTTATATGCCAACAAAAACTCAGATACAGAAAACAGATATCTATATTTCATTTTAGCAATTCAACACTCCTCAAATATGAGAAGCTGAGTCTATAAATTGTAATTTACACTTTGAAAATACACTGCAAATATGTAATGCAACTGTAAAACATTATTAAGAAAAACTGTAATAGTGTTTAATTGTAGCATGATATATATCACAAACAACTAAAATCTTTTCTCTTTGTTAAAGGGCTGTTACCAGGATCTTTTGGTTACAGTGATGTGGTAAAACTAAGCGACAGCGAAGATTAATAAACCACATATACAGATGTTGTAGCAGATATGGTATAAATTAAGGAAAAATAAGGAAATAATATTTATCTTGCACATCAGGCATTAAAAAGATGATCTCTAGTCTAGAAGGAATAAGAAGGAATCTTCTTACAACCTCCTCTCTCTCCACCAAGACTTGCGGCGTCTACTCTACCCGAGGTTTATTTATCTTAGACAATGAATAATATTCCAATATCTTCGACACCTTCTCCATATTTATCAGGCAGAGCCGTTCGTAGCACTCGTCAGTCGTCAGCAATATTAATTAGGAGAGATACTGTATATGTCAAGTCTGACGCACAGATATGCCATCACCCTGGAACCAGAAAGAGGATTTATCAAGAAAATAAAAGACGATGTTCAAGTTTTTCACAAGAGGAAAGAAAGCTCAGGTAAAGTTGAAAAAGAAAAAAAACATCTGGAGATCTAAAATCTAAAGGAAAAACTGCAAAGGTAAGTTGTCCATCTAAATCAAACTGAGAAATGTAAACAAAAACAATGCAGAAAGCCTTCCTCTTTTACCGATATTGTTTATCTACAAATCTTTAATAAATTATACTCCCATTTCCCAAATAAACCTCTGAGTGTGACACCAGGGGCATCCCCGCCATCTGACTCATTATCCCTTTGAGCTTTTCTTAGGGCACTGTGACAACTCTTCATGTTTTGATTAAACTCTATATCTGCTCTCTCATCCATTAACAGACAGCACAGCAGATACACAGTTCTGTTCTTCTGTTTTGCTCATTCAGCTACACAACAAATCAAAACACTGTCTCATTAAATAATAAGTATATTAAATTGTCTAAGTTCTCTCAATGCATCAGTTGCAAATTGCAGCAATTAACTCAAGAATATACAGCTTTAGGCGACTTTATAGGCGGCAAACCAATTTTGAATTTCATTCCTTTTCACCTACTGTCTCCAACTGATCTGTAATTTTGCTTGACTGCTATTTTTTTTATCTAAATGACTTTCATCTGATGAACCTAAATTAGCCAAATATTTGCTATCTGAGAAATTAGACTGAACTTTGAACTATATGAATGCTTTCTGTATTTAAAACGAATCAGCTTGATATGTCGCTATATAAAATACAATCATAATAATGTTTTATTGTGAAATAAAATATATGAAAATAATATGATATTTATATATTATTTTACTCAGACAATCAACTCACAGGCCACCTGGAATCCCTCATGGACCACCAGTGGTCTCAGCTCTAGTCCTTTTCAGTTATATCCTGTTTTTCTTTGTTTCTTTATTCTGCCTTTTTCCATCTTGTATGACAAAGGCCAACAGCCCTGCTTAATCCACAGAACATATGTTCGAGCCGTTGTATTAGGCAGCAAGTTCAGACGGAACCATGAAAAAGGTCAGAGCAGTAAACAGGCCATAAACAGAGTCTGTAATAATGCAGGGCAAAAGCAGAGTGGATGTCTGTCTGGCCTGCTCTGGAACCATGGAAATCCACCACTCCAGGAAACCCAAAGAAATGAGGAAAGACAGTCAAACGTTCAACATCCATCCCAAACGGCTTGCTATAAAAGCTTATGGACTAGCCTCAAGATCAGAAATGGTGATGCACAGACAAAGAATTAGTGCTGGTGTTTAAAATGGATGAATGGAGTGTTTATTTGGCACAAAGTACTTTTTGGAATATTGTGTCAGTATGCATGGCAGCCAAACATATAAAACTACAAAACTAACCAATGATCACGCAATAAATGACTAAAGTGTATAATAAATCTGATGTCAGTCAGTACAACAACATGTGATTCAGCACACTTGTTATGGGTGACCCCCTCTGTGCCCTCAGCATCACACTCTCTCCTGATCTGAAGTGAATCTACACCAGCAAACATGAGTCAGGACCACAGCAGCATCATCGAAATATCTGTCTATGACAGTAAATGATGCTGTTAAATCTGTATGACTGCACCTGTCTTTATATCTATTCCGTCATTTCTCCCTCTGGACCGGTCCTCTAAACAACACTTATTGGTTTTACTGCAGAAAGCTGGTGCCAAATTGCCTAACAGTGGGCCAGACACAGAATAACGGATGTTTAAAAGCCATAAGATCTGGATTTTAGGAACTGGCAGGCCAACGCTTGGATATCCCTCTTTGATGTCTTTAAATGTTAATCGTCTTTGAATAGCTACTAGCTCACTTAGGTGTTTTTATTTTTTATTTGGCCCTCAATGATAAATCAATAATAAACACCAGAACATGTCATTGACTAGGTAATACAAAATTAATTATTTAAATATTGTGAGCATTATTTTTTGGTCTAGAAATCTGAATGACTGAATAATAATAATTTCAAATAATAAGTACTAAAATGTATTTTCTTATTATTTATAATTAACAACAACGATGATGATGATGATTATGATGATGATTGTTGTTGTTTAATATTTTATTTTACAATGAAATTAAGATAAGAAATGCATATTTTTAATATTTAGTATTTAGAATAATAATTCTAAATAATCAATATGCATTTTCTTAATATTATTAATAATCAACATTTTAAAATACAATATAAAAATTAACAATAAAAATATTGTTGTTTTTCATATTTTATTTTAAAATGTAATTATTAATATTAAGATGCATATTATTAATATTTATTATTTAGCATTATTATTATAATGATTATATTTAGGAAGGGGAGTTTAAGTATCAGTTTAAGTATAAAATCTTGTATCATAAAATGATAATAATTAAACTTAAGTATCAAACTAAGACTTTCCGCCACCATAATCAAAGTAAACATTTCGACGGATAATCCAGAAATAAAAATATTATATAGCCTAGGTCAGATAATAAAAAAGTCAATATTAGAACAATGAAAAGTTCTGCATTTAGAGTCATGGTCCAATAAAATTGGCTCTTCACATCTTTAAGAAGAGCCAATGTATTCCTTGGCGATCTCTCAGACATAAATCAGTGTTTTAATGGATTTGAGTTGAATTACTGAAATAAATGAACTTTTCCATGACATTCTAATTTATTGAGATGCACCTGTATGTGCTTCTACTCGCGCTGCTAGCAGACACCAGTGACTGAGCAACAGACTGTCTATAGTACTGTGATTATAATGGGACAAGCGCTTCTTGACTTGCTTTGACTTCGGTTAACATGTCATGACACTTTACATCAGTGTCCCAGTGTGTAATCTGAGCAATAGTGGGCATGGGAGAAAGAAAAAGAAACAAAAAAGGACTTTAAATAGAAAATCCCAAGGATAAATCCCCTAATTCCACTGAACTGCGCTAATAAAGGAGCCGACAGAGGCCTGGTTTATTTTGCGGGTCTCTGTCGTAATTCTGAAGCAAATCCCACATAAATTTACTTTTAAACTCCGGACAGCATCCAAGTTATTGCAGAGAGCT